TTAAGTTACGTAATGATAAAAGATAAAGGGATCCGTATATTAAGAATACGGATCCCGTCCTTTTATAATACGGAGCCCGTATATTTAAAATACGGAGTCCGTTAGGTAGATATATAGATAAAGGATATATTTAGGAACGAGACTTATATATAGTATAAACTTGAGCCGGGCCTAAGAATAGACTTCTATAGCTTTTTTAATAATTAACTTAGTATTAGATCTTACGATTGCTTTTAGCTATCTTTATTAAGAATACCTTTTAATAAGACTACGATTAATTACCAAAGCCTTACCTACTTTACGATTTATAGATATAGTTTTAAGGAAGCTATCTATAACTACGATATTATTTACTTAGCCCTTATAGCCTTAACTTCTATTAACATACTTATTACGACTAGCTGGCCGTAACACGACGATTAAGGATCATAACGACTCTAGACTATACCTAAAGAGTACTAGAAGTATATAAAACTATTTATAGAACCTAAAGAAATAAGATTACTAAAATATAGTAGCTAGGATATAAAAATTAAACTTAAAGAAGGAATATAACCTAGGTTCTTCTTAATATACCCTATAAATTAAGAAGAATAGGAATACCTTAACGAATACATCGATAAAAAACTTAATAAAGGATATATTCGACTATCGAATTCTCCCGTAAGAGTACCCCTATTCTTTATATTAAAGAAAGAAAAAAAAAAACTAAGACCTATTATCGATTATAAAAAACTTAACAAAATTACAAAAAAGAATTACTATCCTTTACCCCTTATTACTAAACTTAGAGACCTATTGCATAGAGCTAGCTAGTTTATTACGATAGACCTTAAGGAAGCATTTAACTAAATTCAAATTAAGGAAAAAGATAAATAGAAAACGGCGTTCCGAACTTATAAAGGACTCTTTAAGTACCTTATTATACCCTTCGGACTTACTAATATACTAATAACCTTTTAAATAATAATTAACTACGTACTCCGGGAGTATATTAATATTTTTATTATCGTCTATATTAACGACGTCCTTATCTTCTCTCCCGACCTTAAAATATATAAAAAGTATATTTATATAGTATTTTAGAAACTTTAGGATGCTAAACTATATACCGAACCTACTAAGTATAAGTTCTATATATAGAAAGTAAATTTCTTTAAATATACTATTATACTAAAATAAATTTATATATAAGCCTTAAAAGTAAAAGTAGTTAGGGACTGGCCTATACTATAAAACGTTAAAGATATATAAGGATTCTTAAGATTCGTTAATTTCTATCAACGATTCCTTAAAGATTATATTAATATTATCAAACCTCTTAATAACTTAATATAAAAGGATAACCTATTTATCTAGGACTTTAAATATAAAGAGGTATTTATTAAAATTAAGAATATAATCGTCTCTAAGCTAGTAATTATAATCCCGGACCCCTAAAAACCTTTCAAAGTCAAGACCGATACCTCGGACTTCGCTATAAGAGCTATCCTAGAATAATAAGACGAATAAAAAAAACTTTACCTATACTACTTTTATTCTAAATCATTCTATAAAGTAAAGCTAAATTAGCAAATTCACGATAAAGAACTAATAGCTATTATCGAAGTATTTTAAAAGTAAAAACTATAATTATCTAGAATTAAATATAAAGTTATAGTCTATATAAACTATAAGAATTTTGTAAACTTTATTACGAATAAGAACCTAAATAAATAATAAGTTAGATAAAGCGAATTTCTATTAGAATATAACTTCCGAATTATTTATCGAAAAGGTTTAAAAAATAGTAAAGTAGACGCTCTTAATAGAAGACCTGACTATAAAGTCACGGTCCCTAAGGAAATATAAGTTATCTTTAAATAAAAAAAAGATAATAGCCTTATACTAACTACGAAGCTTTTTATATTAGCTAGAAAAATTAATACTAGCCCGACTAGAAGAATAACCCCTAAGCTTATTATAGAAATTTATAGTGTACCTATATATAGCTACTAAGGAGTTATTAAAATATAGAAACAGATTCGATAATACTATAATAAATCCGTTATACGCGCTAAAGTTATAGACGTAATTAAGGATTATATAACCTATAAAAAAAGTAATATTAAAACAAAACGATTAAATGATAAATTAGATTATAAAAAACTTAGACCTTTCGAAATTATTTAAAAAGTCTTAAATATTAATTATAAATTAAGGCTCCTAGATATAATAAAGTGTTATTTAGTTTTTTATATTTCACTTTTTAAACTAGTACCTAAGGGTTTGTATATAAAAGACTATATTATTATAGAACTAAACGAACTAAAATATAAAGTTGAACGAATTATCGATTATAGGGTTAGGAATAAAATACGAGAATTCCTAATTAAATAAAAAAACTACGGATATAAGGAAAATATATAGGAACCTATTACGAACCTCTAGAACTCCCGGCAACTCCTTAAGGACTACCGGAAAACTATACTAACGGACCTAAAGATAAGAACTTATTACTAATCCCGAAAATAGACCAGTCTATATTATTAAGAACTTATATAAACTATAACTCCTTAACTATCTTACGCTTATAAGTATTTAATACGGACTCTAAAGCGTTAGATTTATCCACCTCTTATATTCTATAACGAAAGGTCTCGGCTTAACGCTTACGTACTAACCTCCGAATTTTCCAAATACAGGATAAATAATTAGCGGTAATAGCTATTAATAACTAAAGACGGGCTAATTCCTTATAAAGCTTTAGTAGCTCCTTATCCGCTTTCTCCTCTTTTTTATCCTATTCTCTCTACTAGGTATTAAGTTTTTAAATTATAAAAGAACGTTAAAAGATATAAAAAAATAAATAAATAAATGAACTTATAAGTCGAAGCTATTAATACCCCGTCGTAAGGCTTCTTTACCTTGATATAAGTCCGATAACGAAAAGAACCTTTATTAAACCGATACAGGATCTTTATATAGAAATAACGAGTATAAGGTATATTGGTAATAACCGAACGAGCTTTAATAAATTTTAAAGGTATAAGACGCTTACGATCTTTTATTTTTATCTTTCTAGACTTTATTTTAGAATTTAATCTTTTAATTCGACCTAATATCGTATTAATATATTTTAACGAAATACTTAACGATTCCTTAACCTAGGAATAAACAACCTATTTATAGGCCTAGAGGGCTAGACCTTTAAGAGGAGGAGCTAATGTTACGACCTAATATATATAATAAGGCCAGGGTCTTACCCTATAGGGCCTACGGCGGCTATTATACTATATATACGGAAGAACGGGTTTAGGACGACTCTTCTCGGGTCGGAAGAACTATAAATAAATTATATAATAATAAAAAGGACCGACGGATAATAAGCGGTCTATAAATAAGACCGATAAGATAAAGGCGGTCTACCCCTATAGGACCGATATTATAATATCGGTCTTAATTATAAAGAAGCTATTTAGATAGTAAACGGGACTTATATATAAGATAGATTTAAGCCGGGCTTAAAAATAAACTTCTATAACTTTTTTAATAATTAACTTAATATTAGATCTTACGATCACTTTTAGCTATCTTTATTAAAAACCCTTTTAATAAGACTACGATTAATTACCGAAGCCTTATTTACCTTACTACTTATAAATATAGCTTTAAGGAAGCTATTTATGATTACGATACGCTATTTACTTAGTATCGCAGCCTTAACTTCTGTAAACATACTCACTACGACTAGCTGGCCGTAACATAAAGCTTTAATAATTAATAATAATTTTATTAAAGGGTTCTTAATAAAGATAGCTAAAAGTAATTATAAGATTTAATATAAAGTTAATAACTAAAGAAGCTATAGAAAGTCTATTTTTAAGCCCGGTTTAAGTCTATCCTATATATAAGTCTCATTCCTAAATATATCCTTTATTCCTTAGGTCGTTTTAAATTATTTTAATCTAGAATAATCGTTTAGACCTTAAATCGTATTAAATTAAAATAATCTAATATAATCTTTATCTTATTAATATATAACTTATTTTATAGTTCTTCCGTCCTATAAGGAGTAACTATGTCCTTATTTTATATATATATATATTATACCGTAGCCGCTATGGTCCGGTAGCTGGCCTTTAGGTTGGTTATATATATTAGGTCGTAATATATAACCGGCTAATTAATAACTAATATTAAGCTAAAATAGGGATTCCTTTATACTTTTACTTACTATTATATTATATAGGAATTAATATAAAGGCATGTAGAATTGATATAGCGGTATGCACCTTATAGCGGTATATACGTTTGCCCTTATGATTAGTTCAAAATTTTAGTATATTCCTATAAAGGTGGTAAAGGTGGTTATAGTAATATTTCGATCGGTTAATAAATCTAGAACTTTTATATAATAGTATATTTATTAGACCGTTCTTCGTAGGTCGTTAAAATAGTCCTGAAGGTAATAAATCAATTAATGTTTAATTACCTATACCTTAATTATAGCGTCCGATTATAATAGATAATAGATTATTTAGATAATATATAAAATAACGTAGCTATAAAATTCTTTATTTGTTATTATTTAATATTATCTTTTACTTACTCTATCGCCTCTAAATACTAGGTTATAACGGCCGTCTACTTATACGACCTCCTATTATTCTTCTTTTATTAAAAATACCGGACTGACTTCTTATTTACCACTAAAATAGGTCTAGGGTCTAATTAGAATTTAATTAGCCGGCCCCCTATAAACCCTTAATTAAGGACGATTTATTACGATTTCCTAGCGGGCGGCCTTACTTATAACCGGTCAAGCTTTAGCTATTATATATTATAGTGGTTTAATATCGAGATTATTAGCCCTATTAAGGTAGTACAAGCTCTATAAGAACTTACTATACTACGTTCTTTAATTTATTACAAAGCGACGTTATAATCTTTAAATCTAAGATTTAACAGTAAGGATTAAAAAAAGACGTTTCCTAAAGCCGCTATTATAAATAAACCTTTTATTTATTAAAAATTAACGATTTAGCTATTTTTAAAAAGATCTTATAGTAGCACAGGATACTAAACTTAACCGATATAGAATAGTTATTATTATACTCCTTAATAAGGAGCGGAAATAGCCTCTTGCTAGAGGGTATTACCTTACATATAAACCGGTATTACTTAATAATTAATCTAAGACACTTTAACAAAACTATAGTCCAAAGTTTATTAAAATATTTTAAATAAGGATTAATATATTCTCGGCTAATAAATACCTCGTCCTTTATATAGGCCTAACAAAAGCGTAGCTCCTAATCGTTAATTATGTCCTATATAACATTTACGAGTCGATATAGGTAGTTAAGACTATTAAGAAAGTAGCCTTTAATATTATTATTATTTAATTTTATATTAAAAGTAAAATCTCTAAAAAATACTTTAAGAATTTATAGGGAAACCTTAGGGAAATCTCTATAATATCTAGTAGCCTTTTACCGAAAGTTCCTAATAAAATCTTACGGGATTTACCGTAAGGTCTTTTACCGTAATGCCGGAAAAATTACGGTGGAATCTCCTTAATATTTACGAGAAATCGTAATATATAGCCTTAACTTTTATAAATATACTTACTACGACTAGCTGGCCGTAATAAATATACGGATATTTCTATTAAAAGGAGATATATATTTATAATAACTAACTATAATAGACGTAATATATAGCCTTAAAGTTTATATAAATACTTAACTACGACTAGCTATCCGTAATAATAAACTAGTAATAGGCGATAAATTAACTAGCTTAAACCGGTCATAATTAATCCCTGGCCGCTTAGTGGTCTAACCTCCCACTCTAAACCATTGACTTCTCCTTTAAACTTAGTGGTCTCTTCAACTAGGTCCCATCCACCGGTTTCTTCCTTCTTCTTTAACGACCGGAAGATTATCGTCTCTCCAGCATCTTCAAAGATAAACTCCCTTCGACATAGCCGCCTCCATTGTTCCGCCAGTGTTCCCTCCCTGGCATTCTCTGCCTCTAGCTCGCGGTTCTTCTTCAACACCGCCAAGAAAGCCTTGCTGTCCCAGAGCCCTTCTTTCCGCGGGTACATTTCGAGAATGCGGGTTGAGTTGTCCCTGACTAAGGGATCGCGGCACGTCATAGCGACGACAGTGAGCTGCCACGCGAGGCCAAACTCCATAGAGAAGACGTGTGCGGGAGTCTTGAAGTCTTTTTGCTGCTCGCTGAGCAGTATTTCAATGACGTCGTTGATCTCTCGACAGTATGGTGTCATGGAAGCGATGGTGGCTTCGTCAGCATATTTAGGAAAGAAGCTGTACAGAAACATGACTAGGTAGTGCATACGAAGATGCAGGATCTTGAGATACTTCTTTCGTGGGATATTCGCGTCGGATAACGTCTTGTTGTAGAGCGGCTCGAAAGCGTGTCGCCATTGTTGGAGGTTTGCGACCGACTTTTCGCAGTACGCTAACAGTTCTGGCTGATTTTGCATCATCTCGAGTAGTTGGTCGATGCCGGCCTCATCATTGATCTCCTCGACTTTGAGATCATCAATGACAGTTAGTAGCAGAGGACCAAGCTTGGCGATTCGTCGCTGGCAGGTTTGCCACCAATAATATGCGTCTTCTGCGTCGCTGAACACCTCGGGCATTGCTTTTCTTCCTTCCCCTGGATCGGTATAGCGTTGTATCTGCATGTTGTACGTCTCAATGGTATGTCCTCGGGCTTTGAGACCTCTGATGAGTTCGTATGCTGGTGACCGGCTGGACTTCACATGACCACTGAGAACGGTGCGGCTTTGTACATCCAGATGGTTATATAGATCCAGAATTTCGGTAACGAGTTGTCTTGGATCAGGCGCGAGGTTCCAGATGCGATGATCCGAGTCTTCGCTAGTAAGCAGCTCTTGCAACAATACGAAACCAAACTTGACATGTTGGAGAGCCGAGTGTCGGTTCCCCCGCAAGGCTTCAAATGCGACGAACAGTATGGATAGGAGTACCGCCTCTTGGATGCTAGCAGTCTGGAAGTCGGCCTGCCCCTGTAGACGAAGTGCCTTGCAGTAGTAGACGATGGCATTCTGATAATGCGGACTCTGCAGGAGGTTGGCGATGTTGCCAAAATTCCTGACAACAACATAAGGGGAACCCTGCGAAGACAGTGCCCTGCTAATCGCCCCGATACTCATAGCCGCTTGTCGCAGAGCTGGGTTCCGGCGGGTGAGCTGAGGCATCGTGGTTGTCCAGAGGTTGGTCCTAGAAAAGTGAGCGCCACCGAGCGAGACGCGAACCAGTTCGTTCCAGTCGTTGAAGTAGACGCTTTGCATATCATCGATGAAATCAAGAGTGTTTACATTGGGTTCCCGGATGCGCAGGCGCGGGCTGGCCCGGCGACACGATGTTTCGGGGTTCGAGGGTTCCAAGTCCCTCGGAGCCTTGCTTCTTGTCTTCCGTGGTTTGATAGCATAGCCATCGCAGACACCGCGGGTCTTGAGGCAGTTCATGCAATGAGGCTTGGCCTCATCACACTTGATGTGCCGTTTCCTAGAGGAGCAATTAGTACTCTACACTAGCTATCAGATTCATAGGCCTAGCTTGACTTACTTGCCTGCACGGAGTAAGCAGTGTCCAGTCATTTATTCAGTTCCCTCATAATTGGATGAAGACTCACAGGTGACACATCCTGTCCTCACTTTGGGTGTGCTAGTGCGCGTATGGCGAGGGCGGTGGGCAATTGAGGACCTGCCATTGTCGCTTTCTATAGATCCCGCCTGGCTGGGAGGAGCCCCTGGCGGCGACAACGAGTGCGGTGCTGACGCCGTATGTGCAAGGAGAGTGGGATCCATTATCCGTTTGTGGTGTACGATTGTCTGAGGGTAACTCAAATGAGAGACGGGAGAGGCAGATGCTTTCGGCCGGCCGATGGGCTCCGTCGACCGTAGTTTTTGGCTCAAGCTCAACCCATGCAGCTGCACGCGACCGATGAAAAGGGGACTTGGCAAGGGGTCCGGTGAAAAGAATCCAAAACGATCCCGTTTTGGCGGTCCTGCAGCGTTCCCAGCTTTCGTCTGTAGTAGGGAAATAGATCGTTGGGGTACGGTCGCGATCTACCTGCAGGGTGATAGACCATTTACTCCGCTCGATTGTGAATCACGAACGGGGTGTTTTCAATAGGATAAAGCGTGACGTGACGTCTTCAATCTCCCAAGGAAACTCGGTGGACTGCAACAGGGACGTTTGTCATCAACAGTAGCAGATGAACTCGTCAGCCCTCCTTGATCTGAGGTCGCACTAGGGCCCATTCGAACAATGATCACGGGGCGGAGAAGTTGATCCTGGATTGTCCGATCACCTTGCCTTGGTGCATACACTAAGTTGTCAGAGCCACCTTTTTGTGCAGATCGGATAGTTGCGTAACTTGTCCGCACCAGGCCTTTCGATCAGCAAATCGACCAGCCCCCATTGACTTCCGTGCTGCTAGCCTGCTGCGCCACATCTCTATCGGGCTTGTTGCAGGTCGCCTAAGTTTTCCCGCTGTTAAGGTTAGTGTTGTCAGTTGGGCAACCCGCGTCTGCAGCCGTCGTAAACCTGCTAGAAAGCGGGCGTCTATCCCATTGCGCCTGCAGGGGTTTCTAGCGTGTTGTTGCGTTTATAAATCCCAGGTTCCCACCGCTCAGCCTGCGGTCGACATTTTCTCCGCGACATCCCATTTTCGCAAGACGAAAGCCTCCTCATCCCAACCTAACGTTGTCATCCTCTGGCCCTAGGTAACGGGCCCTTTACACTCTGCAACAATGTGCGCCGCATCATCATCAGCCGCGGCGGCCGCGATCCAGCGGGAGATCGTTTGGTTCCAGCCAGCCCAACCTACTGCCGCAATGGGCCCAGGATAACTCAAGTCTTCTCGGCGAGGTCGGCTCAACAAATGGTCTTCAGCATCAACACCAACAACAGTCACTTCATTTGTTGGCCGCTGGCCTTCCGGATACAGACTTCGGGCTTTGTGGTCCAGATTCTATCCACATAGATCCTAGCCTTCAGTACTCAGAATCGCCACCTTGGGACACTCTGCACTTGACGTCCGCTGCTTATGTGACGCCTCCCGTCGGTGCCAGTCCCCTCGGCATCCCGACTGATCAGTGTAAGATAGACGACTCATATTGTTTCCCATCTCTACACTCGATGTGTCAAATTCACTGTACTGATTATGAGTTCTCAGCTTTCCTACCTGTCTTCATCGACTCGTCACCCCCCGCCTTTTTCGACACATTCTCCGAGACCTTTGTCCCCGTACAACTGGAACCACTCTTTGAATCGAGCTCCAGTGCCAACTCCAATTCCAACAGTCCAAACCAACTTCCGCCCCTGGATATGTTAATACATGCTGCTGAGCCATCTCACCAGTCCTCGCCCAATCACATTAGTCAAGACCCGGAGATTGCTATTCCCCACGCCGACAAGATCCTTCGTCGTCAGCGAAACACTATTGCGGCTCGCAAGTACAGACAGAAGAAGGTCGATCGCATCGACGAGCTTGAAACATTGCTGAAGGAGATGACCCGGGAGAGGGATGATTTGCGAATCCGCCTCGCCCGGCAGGAGGCAGAGACTGAGGCGCTCAAGAGTGTCATGTGCAATGAGATTAAGTAAACCGTCGTACGTCACCGGCTTACATCTCTTGTTGTGCTGGGCTTATGATGCGTGAACTGGCGCGTCGCGTAGATTAGACCTTTTCGCGGAATAGAAACTCTTGATCAAACGGACCGTATCCCATGAAGCTGCTTGAAATATAGCATCGCCTACTGCACTCTTAGACAGTCCCTGAGTTACGACCTAGTCTTGATGCGCGATCGTAGCGACGGTGGGGCATGCGTAAATCAATATGGCTCATCGCATGTCCATACACTGAATTAGCAACATCAGCGTAATCACGGTCAGACTTATTTCACGGCTCTTAGTTGTGTAAGAAAAGCAGACGATGATCATACGTGTGCAATAGACGAGTATTCTATCACAACTGACTCGATACGACTCTCGTGATACATAGTCACATACCATCCACTCGGGAGATGATATAGTGTCCCTCTATAATTCGCGACAACGATATATCAATCGTCAATGACCTAGTTAAGACAGCGTTTTTGACGCACTTGGGAGGTTAAGGAGGGGCACCGAGAGAAGGCACGGACCCATGAAGCACTCCGTACTCGATTCCGCGATCTCTGTCAGCGCTAGTCATCCTTTGATGCAATGATCCCTGCTAGCGCGGATGAATCATTGTGAGCCATGCTTGGCGTCTCACTTGGATGTTGGTCTTGACCACCAACCAATCGAAGGGATTTCGGCTAGGAGTGTGGCTGGGTATGGGCGGATGCAGACGGAAACTTTGTCCACCGATTGTCCGGAGTCAGGTCACCAATTGGGGAACGGGATGGCAGAGGACCCCGAGCACTCACGTTATTGCATTGATAATTTCAAGAGTTTATCCCATGCGACTTTAACCCCGTTATTGCTGTTTGGAAAGAAGCGCAAGCTGCACAATTTGCTTAATTTGTCCATTTATTCACGCATGCAACAAGGTGCCCCGACATGTACATGTCCATATTCCCGTACCAAACGTCGATTTGACTCGGAAGGCATTCAGCCGCCATCTTTTCTGTGGCTCCAGCCGTTCGACCGTCGACGTCTTCATCTTAGGCGTCTAACAAAGTTGATTGGAGCTTTGTTATGTTTTGCAACTAGGCCTCCACTGTTCTACGTCGCCCTTCGGCAAATATGCTACACCATTGCTCTTCTCTGCCTGTATTTTGTCTCATATTCATATGTCGGAAGGCATGGCCAACTCCCGACCGGTCAAGTGGAAATCTTTCTTGGCAAACAAGAGCCTCATGCAGTGTTCAGCCATACTTGACGCCTCGATAACATGCTCATCGCTTAATTATTTGGTACGGAGTCTGGCGACGCAACGAGGCTGAAATTGGGCGTGACTATCTCTTGTCAGCGGTATCTGATTAGAATCCAGCCTTGTTGGCGTATACGCTTCCTAGCCACAAGAATAAGCTGAGTCTTTCCTGAATGGAACTTCATGTCTCCGCCATCGTGGCCAACAGAAAGTGAGAGAATAACCTTGAAAAGCTTGGGAGTGGAGATCTTGTACAGCTACAAGGGTCATAACTCTTGCTGTAAGTATAGAAAGAATAACTTTCATTTGAGGATAAGCCGTACTAAAAAGCTTCTTCACACAGTCATCTATGGAGTAAGAGTTCATGTCGTACGTATATGACTACATATGTACTTTCGCGAGGGAAAGTAACGAACTACAAAACGTTTTGATCGGCTCCCGTGTAATTTAATAAGTAGAAAATGTCAGAACGGATATATTCCAAAAACATCAAGTTAACATGATGGGCATGCTGCTTTCCCGTACGCTCTGTCTTGAATAGTTCAGCATGCCGGTGTCACCGGCGCTGAAGTGAAGTACGTCTTGTAGTAGACGTTGTTGCCAATATGTTTGGCCACACTGGGAGGAGGACTGAGCGGACCGCCCTGCTGGTTGGCGTTGGGAAACAGGAGGCTAGGTTGGTTTGGAGAGAGAACACTGGTCGGGCAGCCAAGAACGGTGTTGGAAAAGTAGGGGTCAAGCTTCGAAATAGCCCAAGTCGTCGCGGCAGCCACCTCCTCCGTAGTCCCGGAGACAAAGAGCGGCACCAGTGAATTGATGCCCTGGTAAACATCACACAGCAGAGTCGTGGCATTAAGATTCCCTGTGCCGAGCTGCGCAACGGCCGGAGTAACAGGGTTGCGGAGGTAGATAAGGAGGCCCTCCAATACGGTCTGAACTGCAGTATATGGCGTTGCACGGCGGTACCAGTTGGTGGGCCATGTTTCGGGTACGTACTGAAATTCCCCTGTCGCGGTGTCGTACTTTGCTCCGATGATGGATGAAATGGACTCATAATTAGCAACGCCCCCGAGTCCGTAGGTGCCGTTGCTGAAGAACTTCGATGCCAGGTGTCAGTAGCTACTAGAATCGAAGAGAAAGTGAATAGCTCACGTTAGGATAGAAGGCAAATGCGCCAAGAGAGACGATCAAAGGGAAAGGAAAGTAGTAGAGGTAAGGGTTATTCTTCTGAGAGAAGATGCTTAGTTGTTGGTATTGTGTCCCCATATTTGTCAGATCGAACTGCTTCGTTCCACTTTTTGCAACGATATCAACATTCTGCTTGAACAAACGGGACGAGACATGGTGAGCATCACCACATCCGTTGTAGAAATCTTCACGGTTAGGTGAGATATCGGCCTATGACTGAAATTAGACCTGTTTCGCGAGACGTAGTTTGACTCTTGTCGCTTTTACCTCGACTGTTGAGTGCCTGTTCAACCCGCCAACATTCCCTGGGCCGGATCCTAAATAGAAAGACTCGGTTGCGATATCTCCGTCAGTGAGGACGGCAAAAACACCGAGAATGGTCGATAGGTCGGGGCCCATGTTGAACCCGCGAGCAGTGGCTTCAATTACTTGGCCCAGGTTGACGTGACCATCACGAGGCAGGTAGCCGTGATTCGCAAGCAAATTCAAGCCCGGGCAGGGCCCTCTGCTATCTTTGGGGCCGGGTGCGATGAAGTCGTAGCCCGGTTCCGGTCGCTTGTTGGCAGGATTTAATGCCCCTTCTGCCACGGCTCCGAGAAGTCCAGTGATGGTGTTGGCGAGTGAGCCGACGATTCCGCCGAGTATTTGTGGCTCGGGATGGGCTTCGGGTTCTGGATTGCGCTTACTCAAATTCTCCAGGTCTTCCTTCGTTGCCATGGACGGGAACGCAGCCCCTGAGGCAGCCAGCGAGGCTAGCACGGTATAATGATATCTCATTTCAACTGAGGAACACTTGAGTATTATTTTCAAATGAAGGAAGTGCAATGGTGCTCTGGTTGATGGTGGAGGTTGAAACTGATGAGAAGACGATGACTTTTATAGCAGCCTTTCTGTGAATGACATACGTCTGAGCACGGTTAACAGAGACATATCTCAGAATGATGACATAGTTTTAAAAGAAAATCCACAACGGTGCTTCGACGGCTTTTCCCCATGGATGTCCAGCGGTGGTAGCGAGATGGAAACAGCCATGCGGAATAGTTCGATCCCGAGTGTAGTGTATCGGTCGACCAGCATAGCGTCGTCAACGGTGCTAAAGCGTAGTCACTCGACACTATGGATTTTTTGAGTTCCACTTTCCCCGGATACGCAGTCCGCTAAAACATTTCTAGGGATCGGGAGGACACGACAAAAGGACCTGGTCGTGTAAAATGCTAAACTACCGACATGCAATTCGTGTCCGCCACGCACACAGCATCCACGCAGTGACTGCCCGATATCAGCATTGGCTTAGATAGTCTTGTCTAAAAGGGAGATAGTGTTCAGACCAGCGCGCGGGACAAAGCATTTCCGTCGGCAACGCTACTGACATTGTACCCTTGTTATGACATCCAACTTGGGTGTGCTATACCAATTTGGGTGAGCTATACGTTAGGCTGCCCAATCCAATCTTGGGCGAATTGAAAACTCGTTCACAAGCCAACAGTGTAGGTAGCAATAACCTTGTAGATACTAGCTTGATTCGCGCAGATTCTAATAGTGTAGTATCAAAGAATCGACATGGACGAGTCGGTAGTAGACCTCGGTACAGTCCGTGGAACGAATGTGGCTCAGATTTAGGCATGCAGCTCTGCAGATCCCCCATTGACTTTTTGCATTAGCTTAAGTTCCTTCCTACGACCTTGTTGACCAATCCGTCGCGTCTGATTGGTGAAATGCGCTTGCCCGCGGTGATCCCCTGGAACGAATTGTTATTGGAGTGACACTTGCTGATACCTTTTTCAGGAAGCTGTGTCATCCCTTTGAACAATGTCGTAGGAGTGGGCTAGCGAGGGTGGTCATTTACTCACACGTTCCTCGCCTTCTATAGCCGTCAGTCCGAATCGAGACTCCCGCGCACTTTTGTCACTTTTGTTATTGATGCTGCTGCTACTTCTTGCCCAAGGGAAACGCTTCTACATTCCCAGAATTGCAGCTCTCTATATCCCGTCCTCCTGAAATGAACCTGATTTCGTGCTGTATTCTCGAGTAGCACGAGTAGCGTTTGGGTAATAAAAGAACCAAGGAAGGGAAAGAAACAAACGTTAGCTATTTTGAGGCATCGAGGCGCTTTACAGACGGGCCGAATCGGAAACGATAGCGCTGGTCCACGGGAAGAGACACGGGACGGTGACGTTAAGGCCTCTCAGGATCGTATCCGGAAGGCGTCAATTGACTCAATTGGTATGCCGTGTTTACCCCTCCCTTACTTGTAGATCTTGCGTGCGCAACTGGAGCTCGGGACATGCTATGACGCACATCAACATAGTCGACCTGAAATCACTAAGCTCAACTAAGTGCACCGCGGTTCACACATTCCAGCCATTATCCCAGCGCGGCAGCATCTGCCGAGTGTTGGACTGCCTACTCTTAAGCCTCGTCAAGTGTTGCTGTGTACAGCATGACACATCACACAAATTCTGTTTCTCCACCCCACCTGTACTCGGCGCCGTTATCCAACCTGACCACATCATCAAAAGGCTGGTCAAGTGATGACGGTCGGGTACCAGACATTCTGAAGATCCACAAAAGACCCAGCGTAATTCCAGCTGCCTTGGGCGCTGATTGTGCCGCAGCTACTGTCCATCAAATGTGAGTGCCGCCATCAATTTTCTTGTTCTTCTCGTGGAATGCCCGAAGCAGACATTTCAGATTGAATTAATGCTGGTATATAAACTCACCCGACGGCCCGAGCCGTTACTAACTGAATCGGACTGTATGGTTTGGATAAGATGTCGATGCCATTTGCGCTGAGTGATTATTGTCCCGTTGCTTATTTGGCGTGGCAGATACCCAGGACTCTCGCGAGACGTCCATGGGAGAAAGCAGATCTAGTCTCCAGTTCAAGTATCAGCACTTTGCCAAACACGAACCTTCGATTATGTAAAATTTGACTCTCTTGCCCTCTTGTCTTCAATCAAGTGGGTTTTGTTACGACCTAGGATCATCCAAGACTTTGGAGATTTGCTTAGGTAGCCTTCTGCACCTCTCGTCCTGTTTGCTTCAACTTCTGCGCGAGTCCTATGTGGTCCAGAGCGTAATTACACGCCTAAGCTTTCACGTCCAGTGACCCCTTGAGCCCCGAGTTAAACAATCTTGCATACTACAAATGGGATGATCATGGCAACCCGAATGGTGCAGACACGATGGTAACATTACTGGGCGTCATTTAACAAATGTACTACTAAATATGATCAAGATGTTTACGTACATTTCGATTCCCAAAATAAGGTCCTGGTCCACGTTTTATGTGCCCAACATTATCCGCCCTCGATAGCCATGGTCATGCTCTGGTCTCACTAAGTCAAGGAAGCAGCAGGGCCTTCGGTGAGAGTTCATTCATAACACACGGAATGGCGCACTGATGATTTTGATGGCCATCCCTGCCCTCATCTCAAACTTTCCCAAATCGTCCGTCTCTTCCGCAGCCAAGAAAGGACCGGAGCCATTGACGGCATCAAACGACATTGTCTTCGTCCAGCAAAACGAACCATCCAGGCTTCACAACTTTGAGACTATAATTCCCCAAAACTCGGAACGTAGGGGCACCCTATCCCATCTCTACTCTGACAGTCACTCAGGCAACCATCCACGAACACGATGAATATGTTCCTAAAATGCTTACATGTTTAGTGTAGCCAGCAAGCTTCAATGCGAAGACGACGTCTATCTCGCCTATGGTTTACGATGCTCACGAATGGAGCAGCACGAGTCACCACTGATAGGGACTTATATGAAGCCGAAGGTACCAGGGAAAATAGAAGTGTCCCTCGTCATGGCTGTCAGTCAGACATGTACAGGGATACATATGCATATTTCGACGGATTTCATTCGCCACCAAAAGCAAGTCTCAAAAGTCTCGATGACATGAAAACCACACCTACAAGCACAAGCACACCGCCCCTGCCAATCACCCCTCACAGACCTCATAGATAAAAATTCTACTCCTGCCCTCCTCAGGCGCAAAATACAATCTCACCCTTCCCCCAATGACAGCAACATCCATCGGGTTCTTTGTCATTAACAGGCTCTTCCTTCCAATGTTCCATTCTACGTGGTCTTTCTCCCCCGTCCACGGCACAGCCCCTGTCCTCTCCATAAACGGTAGCTCCCATAAGGGAAACATCCCTCCCACGTCAACAATCGCCAGCCCACCTACTTCCACTCCCGGCGCCAGCATCGCGATACCGGAGCAGAGCATAAGATGTCTCCCGTCGACAGTACCGAGAGATTTGCAGTCTTGGTAATCTATCCAGTGCGAAGGATTCACGATTGTCGTCTGAGGTTCGTCGAATTCCTCATCGTAATCAGCTTCACCCCGTTTGCCAAGCAGAGCCTGTTCCCCCTTCCTGATCCCATCGCCAGTAGTTTCGCGCTCCCAGATCATCTGGGCCTTGCTAATATCCCAAACCCTCGCAATCCTCCCACCCCATCCCAAGGTTATCAATGTCCCAGTATGGACATCATGCACGATCCCACCCTGATGATCTGCCACCTTAAAGACCCTCTTCATCTCCATACTGACCGGATCAACCCTCACCACCGACGCCGTCGAATTCGGCCGGTACTGCGCGAGCGTAGCCCAGACGTGTCGCCCGTCAAAATCTATCCCGCCGTTGTGATACTATCTCCTTCGTTAGCCATCTCTTTGACTCCTCAAAAGTCCAACTTCAAGAGGGCTGAAAAGTGACACAGGCCCCTAGAGAAAAGAGAGAAAGGGGTAAAAGAATGTTCGAGTCGAGATTTACCTCCAACTCCCCTTCCTTGGAAGCAACCCAGTCCCCAACACGTCTCCCGCGCCCATCAAACACCACAAAATGCGCAAACCCCGCGCCTGCGCTCCGATCAGTCCCATCAATCCATTTGTCGTCAGGGTACTTCTCCGTCGGGACGGTGTACTCCCCCGCCGAGACCCAAAACCTCTCCCCATCATCCTCCTCCTCCTCATCAACCTCCATTTGTTCCCGTTCTCTTTCATCCCTCCCTACATCGCCACTCGCAAGCCTTACAATTCCCTCTGGCTCCCATAACTCCCCTTCGAGCTCAATGACCTTGACAAGCTTCAATTTCGTAGCTCGGTCACCACTCATACTCGACCGAGACAGCCCTGTCAACTGCCTCACGATCTCCGCGCCATTCCGCGCCGCACCAGGCCCGGGAAGCGGCACGGGGGCTAGCGGAACGTTAGGCATCGGTCTTGTAATATTCTTCCACCCCATTATTCCTTCTACAGCGCTGCTGCTGGCCAGAAATAACAAGAGGAACGGGTGCGGCGCCCGAATCCTCGTTACGATCCACATGTGTACGCTTGCGCTGTGTGAGGGCGCGAGGCCTGAGAGATGGTGAAAATCGTATGATTTGCTGCAAGCTGTCGGTGAAAGCAAGCGCGCCAGAGGCAAGTTGTGCTAAGATGGACGAAAATTCAAAAGGTTAGGTGCTGTGAATGAAGCAACGTAGAGCGATACCTAGCCCAGCCGGAGACGTCGGAAGAAATCATACCTTATTGATCAGGCCCCACCCCGCACATCCCCGCCCCGCCCCGTGTTGTCCTCGTTTACCCATCCTCGACGCATTAGAGGTACGCAGGCTGAGAGTCCAACCACTGCATCAGACGCCGTTACATAGATTCAAGTACCGAATCGGGGCCTACTTATATACGATACAAGCTGCCCGAGCGTCGAAATCATTGATTTGATGCGCCTCCCAATCTGGGGGGAAATGTCCCAGCACAATAGCACAAGTCGCATCATATCGCAGACATACGACACATCTTAAGTAATATATTCCTCCTGGTCGATCAAATACTAAATACACCGTGAAATCCCCCATTCGAACCACCACCGACGCGATATACGGTATAAATCATCATACCACTATGCCGGCAGCTTTCTGGCCGGGCGTGCTTTGGCCTCTAAAACTCCAGGGTAACTCCGTCATGTACAGTGCTGCGCATCGCCAAGTAGCAGGCACAGGGCTTGACTATCATCCTTCGTCCATCCATACATAAAATCCATTAACATTCATCTGACATCAATGTCTCAGACCGTCTTGCCGCCGCAGTCCGGGATATTGACGCCAGACTTGACCTTGCGATTGACGTCCATCAGACCCCATTGGTCTTCCCAGTTTTTGTCTTTTTCGTTGTACATGATCTTCCATGGCTCATCAAATGCCGAGAACCAAAAGTAGTTGGTACCATTAGTCAAAGCGGGGCATACCCACTTGTCCAAAAGCTCGTTCAGCTCGTCGATGCCAGCAACTGAGGCATTTGGGCAGCCCGTAGCTGTGCCGTCACCGCAGCTAGTGCCACCTTTGGTCGGCCAACCAATCTCGGCAATAACGTTCTTCTTCTTGTCCGACTTAAAGAATCCACCGGCTTGGTTCTCCCAAAATGCGTAAGTCCACATAGCTGCGTCTTTGGCATTGGTTCCAGAGAAGAACGGATGGATATTGGCCATGATGTAGTCACTCTTTGACGCCAAAGATGCCGTCCAGTCGTCGCCCAAGTCCGAAGTTGCGACAGGCAGGCTTAATCCCTTGCTGGTCAAGTTGGTTCGTACCTCTTGGAGTAGAGATCCCAGTTCCGACTCGGTCATCTGCTTCCGGAACAGAATCTCGTTGGCGACGATGAGACCCTCAAAATGCTTGTCTCCGTACTGATCCAGAATATCCCACATCTGGGAGAGTTGTCTCGCGTTGGTCGTCTTGTTGCCATCCTGCCATACACCCAACCATATTTTCACTGTGCCCTCCAGTTTGAGTTGCTCAATTGAGTGGATGAGCATCTGCGTCTGGTTGCAGTCTGTGCCGTACAAGCGGACAGTGTTCGTCAGTTGACTGAGAACAGCAAGATCACGAGTGATGTTATTCTGTGAAGGAGGGTTGTGATAACAATCAGGGTACTGGGAATTGAGAGGCGTATAGTCCATTCCGGGGAACACCTTATGCAGTTCCTTGTTGTTCATAAGCGCTTTGATCTCGGCACTGTCGGCGTTGAGGTCACCGTTAGTGTTCTTGTCATCATCTGCTGATTGTCCATTTCCTGAGCTGTTGCCGTCACGGCTGTTTCTCGAAAGCAATCCACCTGCAATGCCACCAGCAATGGCACCAGCAATGAGGAGGATGACTCCTAGAATGATGCAAAACTTCCACTTTCTGCGTCCCTTATTCTGCTGCGCCATCCACTCTGATTTCTTCTCTGGTGAGCTGAGGTCAATGGCGCTGCCGTTCTGGTACTCGGCTGTTCCCTTGGGGTCGTAGTAGCCGCTGATATTTCGGTTCGCCATCAATCCTGCCGCAGCACCTCCCGCAGCAGCCGCACTACCCGCACCGGCTGCGCCAGCTGCTTTTGTCTTGCCTGTTCGATCGCTGTTGGAAAGACTAAGCATCGAGTTTCGTCCACTTTTGGGCTTGCCGTAGTCTAGACCATCATCACCATCGTCCGCAATCGAGTTAGGATCCACCACACCAAGGTTCTGAGGGTGTCTTTGGTAGTAGGGGTTTTCGTTGTAATAGTCGTTGTAACCGTATGGGCTCGCAGATGGAGATAGCCTGGCCGGGGAAGCGCCAGCTCCGCCGAGAGCTGTCAGGCTGGAGTGTGAGTCTCGATCCGGGAGACTGCCCTGGTAGCTACCTTGATAAGGACGCGGGACGGCATTGCTCATTTCGTATACGTCGCCTCCCGATTGACTGTAAGCTTGCGGTGGTGCGTTGGGCTGCTGGAACTGTCCTCGCGGGATCTGGCCAGCACTTCTCATGGCATCAATCCCGCTCTCCCTGGCGTTACGTTCGGCCACGGTATAAGCAATACCAGCCATACCTCCTGATGCCGTGTCGCTAAAGTTGTCCACGCCAGGTGTAATATTCGGATTCGGATTGCTGTGTTGTTGAGCCGCATAACGATCGGGGCCCCAGTCGCGGTGCACCGGAACTTGCGGTAAGCTGTCGATGGGGGATACGGCTTGATGAGCTCCGTATGCTGTAGCCGCACCGACGGCAGCTGGTGGTGGTCCCTGGCGATCGTTCCTCCGTTCGGCTCTCACGCGACCAAAGTTCGGATCGTGAATGGGGTCGGACTGCGGATATTCGTGACGGTGATCATGAGGCGCACCATGGTGGTAATGGTTGTCCTGGTAGTACTCTGGGGGATTGGGAGTGTGAGACCGATAAGCCTGATCTAGAGGTTCCCGCTCGGCATCGCGGCCGTCTTCGAAGTCGTATCGCGGCATGTTTCGGGCAGGATGTATGTTTTCGAGGAAACGTCTAGCAACCCTCGTGGGTTGAATGGTTGACTGACCAACAGCCAAGAGGTCCTGTTTGAATGAGGTGGATGAGGGAAGCGGAGAAATCGAGGGACGCTGGGTAGAGGGGAATCGACTGGGAACGATGACCGGCTATTGCGTGCGGCGGTCGCAGGAATGTGGGTGCAATTTCAAAATGTCTCGGAACAACAACTGTTTAATTGTGAGTGCGGTTCTCACTGAAATGGGTATGTGTGAATGTCCCGCTCAATCATTCCAGCACAGCGACTGTAGAGATGAGACCGGCCAGAGAATTGAAGAGGTACATGGAGAACAGACGATACTGATGGGAAGCAGAGAAAATAACACTAACCTCCGTGCACCAGGTCGCCCAGTAACTCGGATTGGGAAGCCGGCAGGCGGACGACGCAAGCTAGTCGCCTCCGCCTAGTAGAAAGTAGTGTCGCGGCGAGTTTGGCGGTGGTTGAACGTACCAAGGGAAGTTCGTGGGGCAGTCGCAGGCACGGGTGTCACGTTTGCTCGCGAGCAACGGAAAGCCGGGGAATTAACGGTATGACGATGTCGAGGTGAGATGCCAGCGTTATAGAGATTTTTGTCTTGAAACCCTGATTGCGATTAGGCATGGGGGGATTGCAAAGGGTCGAAGATGGCCTTCCCTCTTTCCTCAGCAAGGAACGGTAAGGGGCGAGAAAAGAAAGATGTTGAGGGGAGTGAGGTGCGGTGCGGTGCCTGGTCAGCGAGAATGATGCGCAAGCCACCAAGAGCGTTTAGGCGCGGAAAATCTGGCTGGGCATTAAGGTGTTTCGCCCGCAGCAGCGCCAGGTCAGGAGTTCGTATTTTGGTACACCCGTGCGGCTCCCTTGTCTGGCGTTGCGCTTGCTCGTATTGGCTTGTGACCCGGTTCCAACTTTTGTCGAGGAGCTCGAGGATCCTTGTTTGGAGTGGTTCTTTCCAGAGATGCTGAAGACTACTCCGTAGTCTTGGAGGGATTGTCGTCAGTCTCGGAGATGGGGCATTCGAGAGAAAAGAAGGGTACGATGAGGTGGGCAGCACGATGACAGGTGGCTTGGGTGGTCTTGTGGTCCTGGACGTTGGGTTTTCAATTTTGGCTCAGGAAGACAATAGATCACCCAACGTCAATCAGCAGAGGGGGAGTGTACGGATAGTTACGGAGTACAACGGCGACACGTACTCCGTAAGCGCCTTGGAGCAAGAAGAGTGTTCCCCGTCCCGCGGAACCTCGAAAAAAGAGACAAAATATGCGCGCGTATGAGACAAATTGGAGAGCCTTTTAAGTTCTAACGGGATGGGATGACAGGAGCACGGCAGGCACAGCTGAAGCTGTGGAAGGTCCCGAAGGTATGCGTATCTACGGAGTACCTAACCTAGAAAGCACTCCGTACCCACGTACCTGAACTTAGAGGGGGAGACTGTTGCCCTCCTCCAGGCATGCTGAAATCCTTCCCTCATAAGTTGGCTTAGTCGATGATACTGGCAATGAAACTCCATGACAACGGCCCAGCCTCGTACCTCCGAGCTGGAATCTGGGGAGGAGGTACCTAGCCACCTGGCCATACCTACAAACCTCCCAATCCACCTGGCCCCGGTGCTCGCTCTGCTCCTGCCCTTCCGAGTGCCGTCATTGAGGACAGGGGGCAACTTGGGGATGGTGGGACCAGACTGAAAGAGTGGAGCGAATGTTACTGGCAACGCACCTTAAAAAACCTAAGCCAGTGCAAGACCGAACCTGTGTGGTTGTATTAACAAATCAAATAAGGCTTACCACACAGTGAGCACTGAGGGGGGCAAAGGCCCGCCATGAATATGGGGGAAAACAAGGCAGCCCGAGCTAAGCAGGTTTATTTTGAGCCCCCGGCCGGAGCAACATGGAAAGAGCGGCACTTTCTGTAGTGTACAGCCACTGGTCCATGCCTATCGTCTCTTTCAGACTTCTCCTT